TTAATAAAATTCTCAAAGCCTCCAAATTTATCAGTGTCCCCATCCCTCCAATTTTTCCAACCTAATGTGGATTTCCTAAACATCAAAAATAAAAACTCCATCATGCCCTACATTATCCAAACGGAATTCTTGGCGCATGTGAATCTCAAGTATCCTAACTATATACACTATTATACTGACGGAGCTAAAACAGACACCTACACAACCTCAGTCTTTGTTGTCAATGACTTCTTCAAAGTGTTTAGTCTCTCTACTTACTCTTCCATTTTTGATGCTGAGGCATTTGCTATTAGTGAAGCTATAAAACATATAACTCTTCACAATTATTACAATGTTCTAATATGCACAGACTCACATAGTGTACTAACCAACCTAATCAACCAGGCTCCCGACCTTCATCCTACTATATATGACATTAAAAAAGCCCTTTTTAACTTCCAGAACCTCAATATCTCCTTACTCTGGATCCCTAGCCATGTAGGCATTCCAGGTAACGAAAGAGCTGACCAACTGACAAAACTTCTTCCACTTGCTCACAAGGTTGAAGGAAAACTCTACTACAAACAACTAATTCCTTTCATTAAAAAACAGAGTTTCTTAGATTGGGCCAAAGAATGGCACGACTGCACCTGGAAAGGCCAAAGACTTAAAACTTTGATGCCGCACCTCTCTACCCGCCCTTGGTTCTCCAAATTTCACTGGAATAGAAAAGACATTAAAAATCTTATTAGAGCCAGAATAGGACACGGTCTATATCCCTCCCATCTACACAGAATAAATTTACGAGCTTCTGATCTGTGCAATTGCGGACTAACTGGCGACCTCAATCATATCTTCTTTCAGTGCCCCCTACTACAACACGATGCCTTCTTTAAAAATTTAATTAACGCTAATTACTTCCCCCCCTTCAATATATCGTTCATTCTTCATAACCCTCTCCCTTCTATCTATAAAATAATCACCGAGTTCTTAAACCAGAATAATATCTCCTTATAAAAGCCCGTAATGATAACAAGCCCTTCAGTACCCAATTCTCCTCCCCTCTAGCTATTCCCATTCCCGCCATTTAAGTACATCCATCTATCTCTCTAATCCTACAAAACCCTACAAATCTACCTTTACACCTAATGTTCACTTAGTATGTTTTCCAGGACCCAGTCTACCTTAGGTTTAGTCGCCACAGTGGGTCTTGTGGCGTGAAGATGGTGTTGGTACCCCCCTCAGTCCCCTTTTCATATCTACTCCCTATCCCCCCACTTAACTCTCTCCCCAACATTTTAACAACTTAACCACAATGTGTCTATAGATGGCTGTGGGCTCCACACCGGAGCATAAAGCCAATAAACCATCATAGAAGAAGAAGAAGAAGAAGAAGATTTTCAGGTTATGTTGTCAGTTTTAGTTGACCGGAAATAGCCGCGAGTTGCCGTTACTTGTTTCCGTTAGAAAACTGCCCCCAGACGCGGGAAATTTGAAAAAGCGCGTTCTTAACAACACAAATTGCGCAGTAAGGAGTGTATTTCAGACTTTTTTAATGTGACCATCGTAATTTTCGTGTCATTTACCCTATGAAAAGTCTATTCGCACGGCTGTATCTCTTGCATGCAACAGGCCCATTGTCCAGTAGAATTTGGCAACAGCTGATGTGGCTTGGTTCCTTTTTGCTTAACACGGTCCAATTCAGGGGTTTAAAGGACAAGGCGCATAAGTGCAGTTTTAGGTATTTGGAGAAATAAGTGTTTGAAGTTTCGAAATTACATGGATCCTTGTGGCGGAAAGAAAGTTCAAACTGACTCTTTGATGCTTAAAAATTGGAATTTGGGAGCGAATTTTTCACAGAATATGCATTAAGACTAGCTTTACCTGAAGTCACTAATACCTCATTTTCTTCAAAAACTGCACTAATGCGCTCTGTCCTCCAGGCCCCTCGAATTGTAAATGAAAATTTTGGAAATTAGGAAAGGGCACTATTAAAAATCGAGGAGGAAAACTCGGTGCCGGAGTCTATATGGCGCCCAAGAACATCCTGTGATATAAATGCGAGGTGAAATCAGCACCAGAAAGCGTATGACTTTCCGCAAAAAGAGTAGATCCTAATCCATAATAGTTCAGGTTGGAGACTGTAAGTCATTCCGTCAGGAAAATAGATTTAGCTCCGCGTTCATATAACTCGGGAATTTTGGGCGCCATATAGACTCCAGCACAGAATTTTTATCCAAATTTTTTAACACAGTGAAAGAAAACGTAGAATAATATACGAACCTTGCATCTTCAACAGATCAAGGCGAGGGAGAGGCGAGGATGAGACGAGATGGAGGCGACTAGAGCTACATTTTTGGTCCGCAAAAGCTGGAGAATAACGATAGAACGCCTTGATAGTTGATACAACTATTCGAACTCCGGGGACGTCCGTGATACATACACGAAAATTTGAAGGCGCTTCGCTGTGGACTACTAGGCCGTTAAGGAAGTGAAACACCACTAGGCACGTTTTTTTCGTTAAATTTCATTGACACGTCGAGCGTATTGAGAATTTTTACATTTTACTCTTCCATAAAAATTTCTTCCCTTGTCTGACAAGGAAAATCTAATGTGATGCGAGAATAATCATATTATATAAAGCATATTGAATTTAGTCTGGTGACCAATTCAGTTCTAGTCTTGACCGTTTGTTTTTAATCAGGCTGAAAATTTTAATTCATGGTCAATAAAATCGTTAGTCTCCATTTCTTTGTCGCATATGGAGGCTGTTAATATATTCCTGGCTTTTTTGTGTGAAATTGTGATGAAAAACATGTATTATATGATACAGTAGGGTAATATGGGCCTTGAGGTGGGAACACAAATTTTTTGGCACAGCGATAAAACCGAGCTCGAGTCAAAAATGTCGATTTTCAGTTTTCAATGTTAAACTCTTTCTAATTCCCTTTAAAACATCGAGTCAAAGTTTCAAGCAGCAATTTTTATTATTACTGTTGTTATGAGCTGTTGTTCAAACTTTCAAGTTTCTAAGACAAACTTCAACTGCTAGTTTCTTTTTTCCCACTTTCCACCCTTAAACTTTGAATAGCTCCCGAAGAGTCAATCTTTGGAATTTTTGGATGTTTTCCGATGCAGCTTTAACCCCTTCAAGTCATGGTGTAGTCATTCATTTTTCTTCCATCGGTAATAAGTCATATCTTGTCTGATCCGAATAATATGCTCCGTTTCTATTCTAATCTAGCAGTCCATTCTTGCCTAAGTAGCAACATTATCGACGCATCGATTAGATATCGTGCCCCATCGACACTGCTGCGCTGCATTATTATTGCACATCTATGACCAAAGTGCGAAACCACATATCTCATATTGCGACGTTGCAGACTTCCTGTCATATTTTATTTTTTATTCGGAGAGATACTCTCTGTATTTTTTTAAAAACATCCTTAATTTTTCTGTACCAGCAGAATATCCTTCATAAACAAGCTAATAAGTTAGCTTGTTTCTCCCTGAAAAAGTAAAATAGGAGCGGAAATTTTGAAACACCGCAATGGCAATACGTAGTTTCGCACTTTGGCCATCGTTACCACGTTTTCTTCTATAGCAAATTACAGTAGCCTAAGGAGGCAATAGTAATTTACGTCTAATATTAAACGGAGTTAAAGCATACGCTTTAACTCCCCCCCCCCCCCCCCCCCCATGACGCTCGAATTTTTTGTCCCCGTCAAATTGAATTTACCGCCATTAGCAAGAGCATCTGGTGGACCAACTTTGAACTACATCCGAAAACAAACTATTCTAACCTCAAATCTTTATCGTTATCGTTATCGTTATCGTACAAAATTATATTTTCCCGATTGGAATTTGTTTAACGTTAAATTAAATCTTCTCCAGCGATTTACCCTGTAGATTTTCAGTCCTACTCAGTAAGACAGATACACTCGTCAATCAGTACATATGCAGTCATGAAAAGTGGTCAGTGTTCGTAAGTACCGACTTTGACATGTTCTCGGCGAAAGAGAATCATACGGTCTCTTAATTCAACAAGTTTCCATTTAGAATGATCATCCGATTCCCATGGATTTTCCTGTCTTGTCTGGTAATTGCATTACTTCTCTCTAGCCATTTTTCAAGTTTGATTGTTCGTACATACTCATTGAGTGTGCATGAATATTGGTAGATGGGCGTAAGAGATATTTCATGCTGGCTTCCTGAAGGTATGGAACCTAAGACGCCGATGAAACTGCCTGATGATTTAGCGTTCGGACGGCACCTTAGCAGTGTAGAGATGCTGCGGAAAAAGCCGATGGAGGATGCCCCGATCTGTCGCCAATAGATCGGAGTGGAGACGCTGACTAATTCCGCTCAGTCTGCTGCATTTTCTACCGATTTTCGAATGTGTTTAGTTTTGGGTTCGATTGACAAAAGCTGTGAATCAATAGACAAACCCGTGAATCGATTGACAAAGCTGTGAGTTGATTAAATCATGTCGGTCAGGTTTTGGTCTTCGATTGAATTATGCCTATTGAATTGATACTGGTTTTTTTAAAAGTAATTGTCCATCATTTCGTGTTGATCGATTCTTGTTTGTCTTTGATCGATTCATGATGATCGAATCGACACCAATTTTTTAATAATTTGTCCATCGAGTTAGTGTTGTTCAGTTCCCATTTCCATTATTTGGTCGATTCTTGACAATTAAATCCATATCCGCCTGAAAAAAGCGCGTCCAATCATTTTCGCGTCTCACAACATACCTTCCGGTCCGATCATCAAAAATTCGAGAAATTGACAGCGGACTTCGAGGAGAAAATCCACGAATTCCGCTCCTTAGATGCTATGCTCCAATATGTGAGCGTCTTCTCGCCCTTGACTCGGTAGCTGCGTTTTCCACCGGCGTCCAGACGCTGGGGAAAAACGCGCCTTAGGTTCCGTACCTTTAATGCTGTGCACTGAAGTAAATCATTACAACTAGATTCTACATTTAATAAGTTTTTGCACCTTCAGAGGGGGGTAGAAGAATGGCTGTCTTCATTTTAGTATTGTAAGAAGATCTAAGAATCATATCAGCGGATCCTCTGTCTTACTTTAGATGTTTGCGGAAACTTATCTCTCCTTATAACTCTTGGAGGAGTATTGAAATGATCAGCCATACGGCTTCTTAAGAACACCTCCTGCCATTATTGTTTAGCTTCCTTTGCATGAGACAGTCTGTTGCAAGTTAGTGCAAGCTGCAATATTTTAATGTAGCCGAGTATCAATCTGAATGAGATAAAACTCTGCTGAAGTTGAAATCACTTTCTTCAGCCCCTTCAATTTTTCACTGAATGAGTTTCCTCTGTAAATAAAAATTCTCCTTACAGTACTGATTAAAATAAACCAGTTCCTTTCCACAAAGCAGCTTTGAGATAATCTATAGAGAGAAACTGACTTTTTGAATCAGTCCGCAACAGGTACCGTCTCTCATGACTGAGTTACTAACTTTAAAGAAGCATCTCTTTGAGTTACCCACCAATGATTTGTCATTATGTTGCCCTTGTGTTACTCTCTTTTATTTTTGTAGTATTTGAGTATTACAGAGTGGGGACTAATAGATTCAAAATGGAATAACACGGTTGTTGAAACATTTTCTGTAGCTGCTCTGCTTGTGACCATGATTTCTCACAAAATTATAAAACTATAAAAGCTGGTTATTAGCATGCCTTTCTGAAGTGACTCAATTGGTTGTCGGTGGGAAAATATTTGCAGAAACTTTGGTTTGAACTCATTCTGTCATATTCACCTTAAGATTATTTGCACCGAGTTTTGCTTGTAGTCAAACTGGCATGCAATAAGTCATCTCAACTAAGTAAAAAGCGTCGGCAGATTTTGACTTAAAGCGAAAAGAACAAAGATAGCTCCCGTGCTCAAGTCTGACGATCATTTGTAGGTATTAAAATAATTTCAAAATTCGGAGAAATGAAAATGGGCTTTGGCAAAGAAGAAAAACCCTGTGTTTAATACAATAATATCAGTATTTTTATTGAATGTAACACTTTTTTCTCAGCCAAATTCTATTTTAACTTTATTAAAATTTGCAATTTTGCGAATGATTTTTGAGAATGATTTTTTAGACGCATATTTAAGGGCTATTGTCCTTTTTTGGCTAAGTCAAAATCTGCCAAGATTTTTGACTGGATGGTTGTGATACATCCCATGCCGATTTGACCACCACAAGAACCTGAGACACTTTACCTTAATTTATTTGAAGCCAAGGAGTGCAAGTGAAATCATGCATCATTCCATGCCCTAGTTTAAAAAGAAGTAAGGGTTGTAAGGGGAATACAGGATATGAAAGAAATAAAGAAGAGTAAACAATAGTAATTGGTGTTTGTTACTCACCACGTTAATATTTTTTTTTATTTTCTTTTAGGTTTTGAGCGTCTATTCTGAAGTTCAACTGCTGCAAGTTTCGGTATCTGATAAAATAGTCGATGGCGGAAACTATTCCTACTACAAGTTAATCTATACCGGCTATATTTCCCTGTATCTGAGATCAGAGTAAGATTTTGATCCTCCACTTTTCTTTTAACGATCTTTCATCCCTTAAAACAGCTAGGGGCGGTTCAAGTAGGTATTATGGAGTTAATTTAAAAAGGGAAGAAGTCAGAATCTGCCCTACAATGTCTTAAAGGGGGGGGGGATTCAAGCCCTGTTGTACGTATCTAAGTCGTCCTTTACAAAAAGACAGGAATATTTTGCGGCAAAAATGATTTTTCAGCCATTTTTTAAGGTAATGAATATTTAAAGTCCAAAAATTTTGGAAAGGGCTCTAATTTCAAGTTTTCCTCTAATAGTTCGAGGCTTTAAAATTTATATGTATCATCGGACAATTTTTCTCACAATTATTGAACTTTAATTACTTTTTCTTTCTTAAAGGCAGTAGATAAGTCAAATAATTTTGTTGTTACATCTTTAGCGATAACAATCTATCTTTCTAAATTTGCCTGACAAGCAAACTTCACTTATTTTGAGAAATCCTTTATCCTGTCAACTCAAGCTGTGAATAAGTTTTTATCACTTTTGCCTACAATTCCTCTCAAAAATCCTGAAGAAACCGTCCGGAAATCTTTAAAAACTTCTTCGTTTTTGTTTAGAGAAGCTATTATTAACCATAATATATTGATTTTTATGTCAATCAATCCTTGGGCGCACTGTGTACCTCAACCAAATTCACCTAAATGAAATTAATGAGGCCAGGAAAAAGTTAGATTTTTGATCAATAAAAAATTATACTTAAAAACATCAGTGATATTTATTGATTTCCATCCTTTTAACCAGAATATTTTTTGCATTTCCAGGTATGGTGATGCAGATTTGTATGTCTCACAATTCACGGAGAAGCCGACATTTGAACCAGATACATATTGTTTACAATCGGCCACTTGTGATTTAGACGTTATCCACGTGCCTAAAAGGTTTGGTTCTTCTTTCAAGTCGCTAATGATCTTCATCTCATTTTCAACCAATTTTATTCATTATATCCTTGTTATTATTTAACTGTCCAATTGGTGTCTTTAGTTGGCACAGAATCATCTCTCTCTACCTGTTCCTCTTGGAGAAATACTCATTTAAGAGCGGAAAATCACAAGAAATCTCATGATGCAAATGAACTCCAAATCAGAATATTGAGTTAAATAATAAGCCCTTTTGTAGAGGTGTTCAAACAAATCTTTGTCAGTAAGCTATTGCAACTTCTTTTTCGAAAATACCAATACCCTTTGATATGTTTGCTCTTGTCGGAAATCGCTGGCTTTATCGGAACTGTGAACTCCAAGTCAAAGTGTCCGTGGGTCCTTTTGGGTCCGTGAGTTGAAATATGTGCTTGACTGTGACCAATCATTTTAACTAGCTCCAAAAATTCTCTTAGGTATTGATAAGGAGCTTCTTATGTATTGTTACCATTGTTCAACATAACTATTTTGATAGTTTATGAGCAATCCATAGGACATCATACCGTATAATTTTCTTGAAAATGTATATTCTGGAAAAGAGTTTTTTTATAATGACTAAAATTTAGGTACCTCAGTTTTTGAAAAATATCATTCAACTCTGCCAATATTCAGTTTTAGTAGTTTTGAGTACAATTTAGGATATGTTATTTGATCAAGGTCTAGTGACAAGAGCAGGGTTTAAGTAGTAAAGAATATTTAATTAACTAAAATGATAGAAGACTGAAAGTAAATAAAGTAAATAAATAAAATCAAAAACTCAAATAGTTGCATATCTATGCTCATAAAAGCAATGAAGATCAACATCTGTGTATATTGTTGCAGTTTTAAGAGGCCACTTTACATCGGAGTTTACGGACATCCGTCTCGTGAATTCAGCATCTACCATTTGGATATTGTCTTCCGTAATAGAGACAGTGATATTATTTGTCTAGAGGAGGAAAGTGATTTTGGAAATTTTGAAGATAATGACATTGATGTAAGTTCTTTTCCAAATATTCATTGGGGAAGAAAATTGATTCTCCACTTGTTATTTTTCGTTGTTTGCTCGGTGCTGTGGGTTTTGCAAGTTAGAGTTGTAGCTGGTAGATTATAGGGCCCTTTCCTGCTTTTAATGACCATTCTCTTCAAAAGTAACCCATGATTTCAAAAGTTCTGAGTGACGGTATCATTAGTTGGATAGAGTTAAGGAAAGCAGTCAATTCCTCATACCTCTATCAAGTCATTGTAAATACTGTCAGTAGTAGTTAGATGTGATATATTTATAAATCCAAAAAACTAACAAAAGGAAAAATGTATTGAAAGAATTCAATAATACATAAGTGCTGATGTATTAGTGCAGAACTTACATATTAGTAAATTCAGGAAACGATAAAAACACACTAAAATACAAAAAACAAATGGGTATACAAGGCTAGAGGAGACATAAAACAAACCAGGACGTCGGGACAAACGTCCTGGTTAGTTTTATGTCTCCTCTAGCCTTGTATACCCATTTGTTTTTTGTATCTTAGTGAGTTTTTATCGTTGTCTGCATTTGGGCTATTGTGTCTCTCTTTCTCTTATCTTCAAATTCAGGAATTACATCAAAGGATTTGATAATTTAATTTGACCTAAGGCCTTTAGTTTTTATTTCATGTCAGTAAAAATCCGTAGAACCAAGAGGTCTAAAGAGGGAAGGATGCCTGAATTTTAGCACATTGATGAGGGAGTTACGTTTTGGTCAAATCACCATGGAGCGAACATACTGCGAGGTATAAGCATTTGATGCATTCCTACTTCATGTTTCCGCGCTTTTTTGAGTTAAAAATCACTGACAGTTTGTACTAGAATCAATCAATAGTTTAAGTAATATCATTTGAGAAATGGTCGGACAAATTTTTACTCCTCAAAATTGTGTGTGTCTGATCCTTACAACGGTGTTTGTAGATCTGTAGAAGAAATTGTAGCCCTGACGCAGATTTATATGCAGAATCAAAGGTATTTATTGCAAAAAATCATTAATAATTTAAGGAATTTTCAGTTGCTTGTAAATTTAATGAACCCTATATTCTTTCCAGGGTCTTGATGACACTGATATGGAAACCTCTGAGGAGGCGCCAACAGTATTTCCTCTCTTGTTAACATTTGCTAACTTGCTGGTTGAACTGCTGTTTTTATGAGCTGAATCTAAAAGTTACTCTTATTGCTGGTCAAAATGTTGGAGTACGAAAATCAAATGTTTCTCGACATTCTTCATGAGGATGGTCTTCTAATCAGTGCGAAGTAAGTTTCTATCATTTACAACTTGAGTGCAAAACTTAATGATAAACTTTGTCGTATAGAAAAATCAGTTTTGAAAAGTTTCGAAGGTGGTGTTTTTCTCTCAGCTATAGTAACTTTGCCTTTTATGTGATTTGAAAAAAGGTGCCTGTGAATGAATAAGTATCAGGACAATGATGATCTTCTAACCTAATGCAAATAGTTGAACATAAGCGATTTTACTCAATAGCAAGTACATAATATTTTAATAAGGAGCAATCTACACATCGATGATAAAACCACAGAAATGTATATCTTGGTTTGCAGCATTGTAAACTTCCTGCCATACTTTATTTTGTACATAGAAACCTACAAAAGGTCATTTCTTGAAGAATTTTGTGAAACCTTTTCTGTATGTAAGAAAATTCTGCGAAAATAGTTAGCCATAATGTTGATTTGGTCTCCTCTCTAAAAAAAACTGGCATTTTTCGGTACTTTAATTTTTGTAACACAGCATAGTCAACACCAGACTAATTGTATTCTTCTTACTTTTTGATCAAAATTTCGTTAAATTATTCTTGAGTAGAAAGTGGGAGAAAAAGGGAGCAGAAATTCGCTCAAAATGTTTATTTCTACAAAAATTAAGAACCTGCAGACGAAGAATTTCAAAAGAAAAATTTTACTCGGACAATTCAATCTGTTCTATCTACCTGAAATTGACCTGGACTACCACAATTTTTTACTCCCCAGTTAAATTTTTCCTGTCATCACTCACCAGTTCACCCCGGAGAACACATTGGATGATGTCAACTGTGTTTAAAAGAAGGTAGAATTCGTTAAGAATAGCCAATTCAACTTTAAAGTATTCTAGAGCCTCGTTATAATAAATGTTCTAGTAGTTGAAATTTGTCTGTCTCTTTTCTAGGGGGCTTGGCCTGGATAAAGTTTTCCTCAATATCATCAAAGTCTACTGTGATCCAGGAAATTTAGTGATTGTCATCGGCACCGAACCTGAAGAGGAGCAGAGAATCATAGAAGTCTTGACCTTACAAGATATTTCTCCGCTGCCTAAAATCATAACATCTGATTGCTCAATTTCAGAAAGGTTTGTCTTGTCGCTTAATCGCTTAACTTTGATTTTTGAATCATGGATCTAGAACTATCATTATATGAATCTTAATTTCTATAAAATAGTTTTATCAGATTTTACAGAGAGCCATTTCCCATGAGGATTGTGCGGGGTTCTTTTATTTGTAGAGCCTCCTCTCAGAAAATAAATTGATTTGCTGTTATTAGTAGTTTGATACAGAGTTTACTTTTCTTGGAAATAACTACAATAAATGTCTGTTAAGCGAGATAAATCTCCTTTATTTTTGGCTACATATTCTACTCCAAAAATTGAAGGCTTCGATAAACACTCTGTATTTTAACATGAATAGATAAATCAGAGATTTTTCTAGAATATTTTCGTTTTTGGAGGTATTAGTTAGACAAAGAAAAGTGTAGTTAGAAACTTTTCATTCCCTACAAGACTTCAAAGTTTTGTAAGTTTTGTATCGTATTTTCCCCCTGTATCCATTGATTTTTTATCTCGTAGGTATTTTCTTAACAATAATACTTCTATTGATTTGCAGGGAAAAAATATACCTTGAAGGTGGCGTTCTGTTTGTATCCTTTAGAATAATTGTAGTTGATTTTTTGAAAAAACGCCTTCCCATAGAACATGTAACTGGCATCCTAGTCAACAGGGCTCACCGTACTTTAGAGAACTGCCATATTGGATTCACTTTAAGGTTGTATCGTCAAAATAACAAGGTAAACTCTTGGTATTCTTCATATTTATCATCTATTTGTTTAAAAATGTCCAGTAAATACTTAAAATAAATCAGTGAAACTGTACTTAATCTGTTTTTCTTTTTATTTCTTCAACTTTTAAGTACAGCCCTGCGGCAGCAGGAAGGAGAAATTGAAATGAGCAAAAATTATGCTGTTAGTTGCAGTTCAGCAATGTAGTACACCATCTTACTTAACAAAAATAATTCATCATTCTCTGAAAATCTAACCAAATACCACCAAACTACTGGTTACCTACTCTCCTCATGAAATTAAATGTTTTATTTTTTCTGTAACCATCATGTTATTTTTTTCATTTTCAGACTGGCTTTGTAAAAGCATTTTCAAATTCGCCCGAGTCATTCACAGTAGGATTTTCTCGCGTGGAGAGGATTATGAGGATGCTGTTTTTGAAAAACCTGTACTTGTGGCCTCGTTTCCATGCTGTCGTTAGCTCAAGTCTTGAAAGACGGAAAGTAAGATTTTCATTCATGTCTTTTGATCTTTTTATGTGCTATTACATTTTTAATCAGATTTTTTTGCAATCATCATTTCAGGAACAAACTGAAACTGCAGAGGTAACATTATTTATCAAATCTGTTAAAATTAATAGGTAAATTCAGGTATAATTTCTTTTGTTTCTGTTGTCTTGTTTTATTTTAATTTGTTATTCATTTTTACAGCCAGCAGTTTTCGAGCTTCATTTGGAATTGACAAGTGCTATGAAAGAAATTCAGGCAGCATTGCTGGATCTTACAAACTACTGTGTTAAAGAAATAAAGCGGCTGAATCCATCCGTAAGTTCTATCAGTACTTATATATCCACCAGGAATTTTATTATTTGCCTACTATAATTATACCTAGTGAAACTTCTGTTTAAGAACTTGCGGTTTTCAAGAAAAAAGGATGTTCACAAATTTGAAAGTATAAGGGCACTGTAGTAAAATGGCCGAAACGGTATTGAAACCTATAACATTAGGGAATTTAAAGGAACCCGGAAAAATCAGGAATATCAGGAAAACCCGTAAGAAGTTAATGTAAACATTCACGTAATAGGAATTCAAACAGCGAGTTGATGCTCTATTGCCTGATTTTTACTGTTCTCGTTAACGGTGATGAAGAGAGAACAGTGCAAGGGTGAGAAGAAAGTTGAAGATCATCATTTTTTTTTCCTTCAGAGAAAAGGAGGAATTTCCACTGAAGGACTAGGGAATGTCGGAGAATTGTCCAGGGAATCAAGAACCGAAGTTAAAAAAATAGGATCATTGATTGAATTTAAATATACCTGTGAAATTTTTCAGCTTGATACGGATGAAATAACTGTAGAGAACGCTCTTTCGAAAACTTTTCACAAATTATTGCAAATGCAGCTTGACCCCTTATGGCATCAGTTGAGTTCTACCACAAAACAATTAGTAGCGGACTTGAAAACTCTTCGCCATGTCCTGTTGTAAGTATTCTTGAAATCATTTGCTGTTTATCCTTTGTTATGCATAAAATTACAAGATTCTTTGTTATTATTATAGTGGTTCTTTTATGTTTGTCATCGCAAATTTGAATTGCCAACAATCGAAAATTTCCACTTATATACCATTCATATTACTGTATGCTCTCTGAGTCCTCAAATTTGTATTTTCTGCCCTAGTTACTTCTTCCAGATAAGCACCTATTGCGTTCAGATTTTTTAATTATAACCCGGAGATTTTAGATATTGCAAAGCAAGTCTCTGAGGGTAAATAACACTCATTGAGGGTCGATTATCATAGCAGCCAGGGAGGACCAGGGAAAACAAAACCCCTTTTTCAAAGATCTGGTCACAAATAGTCTTTTGAATTTTCCCCTTAAAATGCCTCAAGAAAATGTGAATAAATGGGATGATTGTAACTCCACAAAAGCATCAGAAATACTGACTAATGCAAAACAGATAACTCTCAAAGTAAAGAAAAAGTAATACAGATATTGTCCATTTGTAATATTAATGGAAAACAAAGAGAATGTAAAAGCAGCCCGAAACAGAAACGACAATCAAAAACACAGGAAAAAGCGGAAACAAGGCTAAAATACAAAATATAAGGGCAAGACGTTTCGGTACCTTACGGCACCATTATTAACTGCTAAAAATTAAAAATAATAAAGAAATTAAAATAAAAACCAGCAAACGGCGTTACATAGTGAAATTGGTAAATGAGACTGCAGTGATCACAGAATAAACAAGAAACAAGGTACGATAAGCAACAAACATTGGAAAATGAGAGAAAACTGATCGCCGATGAGACCTGATTTCTCTCGTTTTCCGATGTTTGTTGCTTATCGTACCTTGTTTCTTGTTTATTCTGTGATCACTGCAGTCTCATTTACCAATTTCACTATGTAACGCACTCGTTGTTGTGCTCTGAAGCGAGACGGTCGCGCTTCATCTCACGCCGGATCAGTATTTTTCAACAAAATTTCGGAACAAAAATCACCAGCATGTGATTCTGCTGGAATCGAGAAAAGTGCTCGCGTCGCGGTGTTCTGGCGGCCGGGTCCCGAGTGATATTAGTGCCAGAGTCATCATAAACAATAAACAATCGTATGGCAGACCGGCCTGTAGTGTGTAAACACGGTGTCAAGTGTAGCTACGTCAACAACGTTTTTCTCGGGTGCGAAAAATGTCTAAAGCGGGGATTGCTCACCGGCCTAACCTACCTACCTCGAACTAAACTAGACACGTTGCCAAATAGCCAAATGGAAAATCCGTTCGGGAAAAGTTCTCNCGCCGTTTGCTGGTTTTTATTTTAATTTCTTTTTTATTTTTAATTTTTAGCAGTTGATATGGTGCCGTAAGATACCGAAACGTCCTGCCTTTATATTTCGTATTTTAGCCTTGTTTCCGCTTTTTCCTGTGTTTTCGTTTGTAACATTATCAATAATGGAATATAGCATCTCAAATTTAAGGGGACAAATATTACAAAAACTGCTCTTGAACAATTATACGCATAAGAGAATGCTAAAGCACCAGTGATGTATTAGAGTCCATTTTAAAAGCAATAAAATGTTCAAGTTTACAGGAAAAATAATGCCACATTTTTTGTTTGATTTTTCCTATTTTCAAAATTAAGGTAGCCTAGTTTGTTTAAATTTCAAATTATACTTTTCGTCATGTTTTAATCCATTAAATAGTAAAAGTTTTTACGGAGACACTTCTTTTTCTAGGTCATTAACCAGAAAAGACAGTGTACGCTTTTACTCTCTAGTTCGTAGGATGAGAACCACAGAATATGCCCTGAAAAATTCTGGATGGATGGTCTTGGATGCTGCAGAAACACTTTTTGTGGCCTCTACAAAACGACTCTATGACGCTGATAAAAGTAAGTTTATTTTATTGTGTGCCCTTTTTTTCAACTTATTAGAAGGAATTAAATAAAAATTGAGATAGAAATCAACTTATCCTGGATTAAAAAAAATTTCCGACCATTCCTAAAAAGTTCAGTCTCTTACAAAATCCATATTTTAAGTGTCTAAATTGTTATACAAGTCCTGTTAACAAAATTTAACTAATATCTTTTTATTTTGTTTTTATAGAAGTTTCCCCAGAGCAAAATCCCAAATGGTCAGCACTCTCGGAGGCCTTGAAAGAAATACAGGAAGATGCAGGAAACTCACCAGCAACAGTTCTAGTTTTCGTTGATTCAATAGAAACCTGCAAACAACTGAAAGATGTAAGGATGAAGGAGTTCTTTTTCCAGAGTTCTTTTTATTTAGGAGTCATGTGACTGAGTGCTAAGAGATTTTAAACTGTATCCGCAGTCACCCACAAGTGAAGTAATGGTGAAATGTAAATTTTCTAAACTGAGGTTTCTACAAATCGTTGTGATGCTAATGTTTCCTATTCCTCGCACACACAACCACTACTCAATTATAAGCTCCTTAGAGAGTTTGTAGTCAGTACTTCAACCACATAGAAGAGTCCAAGCCAAATAAGTTTTTGCACTTTTAGACTGCGACAGAAGATCGTCTGATGTCACTTCAACATGTAAAGTACATATATATCGAAGAATCAAGATGGTAAATTTTCAATCTCAGTCTAAAAGTGAGTAAACTTATTTGGCTTGGACTCAGGTTCAATGAAAACCTGCCGAACAAAACGTCAGTCACTGGGACTGTTTTTGTGTGGCACAACCAACAAAAAATGGTTATCATGGCTAGCTTGGCAGTGAATGTGATTATTAAGTGGCTTTCAGCAGTGTAAAATGTGGTACTTATGGCTGCAGGAGGCCATAAAGTGAAAGGAGTACCCATGAGTTGGTATACTTGATGATGTTGATGAGAAATCGTAGTAAAGTTAAGTCAAGTGAGAAGTGCATAGTAATTTTATTTAATAAGGTTTCTAGGAGACTGTTTTTGCCAATCAACTCGAGAATATTATTTTTTATTAAATTTGAAGAAGGCCTCTATTTTACCCCCATCACATGTTAGTTTTCCATTAAGTCTAAATTTTTTCTTTAAAAAACATCTACTTCCCAGGCAAAACTACGTGTCTCAAAAAATTGTATTGCCTGTTAAAATGTTTTTTGAGAGGAGAAATAAAACGAATTTTTCAATTTCAGCAACAAACAAACAAAAAACTTTAAAAGTAGGGTTTTGAAAGTTTCATTTTTACAAAAAAAAATTATGCATTATGGAACTTGAGAAAATTTATCCTTTCTTTCAGAGAGGAACCCCTGAACTGTAAGGCAAGCATAAAAGTATTACTTTGTTCTTGATCTATAAACTGTCCTTATCCTTCACGTTAATCATACTAATATTTCATTTCTTTAATTTCAGTATTTAACAATCGGAAGTGAGAAAATGTTGAAGGATCTGTACAACCGAATCGTTAAAACTAAACCTACTATTGCTCCATCGCCGACTAAACAGCTGACAGATACATCCACTGCAGCTACAATAGATGATCCTGAAGAAGAAGAAGAAATAAATGAAAACGAATGCTTTACGCTCACTCAGAGTACAAAACCTACCTCTGAAACCGAAGCCACCTTTAGCGAATGCAGGGAACCCGAAAATCTCCAAGAGCCATTGATTGTCCTTCAAGAGTACCGGAAAGATGGAAACGTCAATTCAGTTCTAGTGACTTTGCGAAATTTGAAACCAAAATACATCATCATGTACGATGGTGAAATGACAGCAATCAGGATGATAGAAAATTATCAAGCGGCAGAAGCTGAACACAAGATTACGGTTTACTTCCTCATGTACGCAAGCTCGGTGGAAGAGCAGGCGTACCTAACTACACTGCGACGAGAGAAAGAAGCATTTGAATTTTTGATAAAAGAAAAAGCTAGCATGGTGATCCCTGCTGACCAGGATGGTAAAAGTGGAGACTGCCTGGAACTTCACCGAGATGTAGGACAATCTGCGGCTATACCAACGAATGTAAGTTCTCGCAGAGGTGGAGTGCAGCCAGAGGCGAAGACGCCTACGGTGATCGTAGATATGAGGGAGTTCCGAAGTGAATTGCCATCACTTTTACACAAGAGAGGAATAGACATTGATCCTGTCACTCTTCAGGTAAGTTTATTTAAGAATTTAACTACATCGGCAGGTTTTTTTTTTTCAAGAGAATAATTAACACAGATTTACAGAAAAGAAAAAGTAATATGACCAATACATCATTTGATACTTACTGTGACGGAAAAAAATACAATATGTAGAAATTTTGTTCATAGTTCAGAGAATTTAAGCATTTCGGAACTGGGAAAAAGCAAAAAAGAGTCAAGGAAAAGTCAGGGAATTGAAAAACGAAAAACTTTTAGAAACCCTCAAATATGATGCGAAAACTATTCTGAGTGTAGCAAATAGCAAATGTGGAATACATTTGGCCTTCTTAATTTGTGTTTTTATACTTATATTATCCTACAACCTTAAAGGGTATTAATTGATTTAATAATGAGAAAGAAAAATTATACCTAAAAATATTAGGAACCTTAAAATTTCTAGCCCTCTCGTAAAAAATAATTTTATTTTTGCATTCAAAGCATAAAGTGTAATCAATTCTGCTCATCTCGTTTTCTTGAAATTTGTTTTAAGCTATTTGACTTAAAATTTTTGTGGAAGTAGATTAAAGCCTTTCATGTTATTTTAGCATAACTGGCGACTATCATGAGATGAATTAAGACACCGTGTAGTTTGTTTTTGATTTTCAAAGTATTCTTTAAAAGATTTTTCATCCATCTTCTATGTTTTTAATATTTTTTTTCATCCTTAGGTGGGCGATTACATCCTGAGTCCAGAAATGTGCGTAGAGCGTAAGAGCATCAGTGATTTAATAGGTTCCTTACAAAAAGGTCGGCTTTATCAGCAAGCACTAGCAATGACTAGATATTATACCAAACCAATGTTACTGATTGAATTTGATCCGAAGAAACCCTTTGCTCTTCAGGTAAGAGTCATCAGATCAGCATTCCAATCATTGTGTATTGTAAACTTAATCGAAGATTAAATCTTTAAAATTAAAGTGCCTCATGCTGTATCTTCCCAGTTCTAATAAATAGAGATTCTGCTCTGAAAATGCTTAAGTTTTTCACCCAGAAGTTCAGTAGAAATACATTTTTGTCCAGAAAGAAAATATAGATAGCCCAAGTAAAAAACGAAAGTCCATCTCAGATTGAAATGTTGCAAATCTCCGCTCAGATTTTATTTCTTCAATTCATCATTTATCTGGTGGTTTTCTTGAAATTTTGGGTGAATCCTCTTCACTCTTCCAAAAATTTCCACAACAAATTTTAAGTATTATCATGGTTAGTTTTCTTATGAAGATTGAAGCATGATTGGAAATGTTGAAATGTCGAGATGGAGATACATATTTTCTGACTCTCGCCAGCGATAAGCCTTTTTTTGATAGAAAAAGTAAAGAGATGAAAGTAGAAAAATTTCTCTCATTTAAGGACTTATAGCAGTTTGATGCCTGTATGGTTTAAATAGAGTGTTGGTCATTTTGCCAACATGTTTTGTCACCAGTCTCGCATCAAACAGCATATTTCTGTGAGGGGATTTTGCGCTTGGATGAACTTTTCCCCTCTAAAAGGAGAATTTTATGTTTATACTGAATTAATTGCTTTCGGCAAAATTACCAACACTCGGTCTATCATTTTGTTTGATTTCTTTTCTGCTAGAACTACTTGGTGGCAGTGAACATCGCCGAGCCTAGTAATTCGCTGTTTTTGTCCGCTCCTTTGAAGCTTCCAATTGTGTATTAACCTAAATTTGAATATTCTGCTTCTTCTTGCAGGGTCATTATTACTTGAGCAAAGATATAACATCGAATGACATAACCTCTAAACTTCAGCTTCTAACGCTTCACTTTCCGAAGCTCAGATTGGTTTGGTCACCCAGTCCTCACGCAACAGCTCAATTATTTCATGAATTGAAGGTGAGTTGGCAACATCTTTTTAACTCATTAACCCATTGACTTATGATTTAATTTGACCCTGCCGGGCCAGGAATTACGATTTAATTTGGCGAAAATCAGCAACTTTGAACACTTCAAAATAATCCAGAAATTATTTCTCAAAGGGTGAAAATTGAAAAAATAAGCATTCACAATACAACGTTTGAGAAAAATGGTGAAAACTTTGAACACAATGATTTTTTTATGTGGTTTATAGCTGTCAAAATCGCAAAATCAGCGAAAATCAGAAAATTTTGAGGTTATTTCATGTGCAAACGCACAGTAATATGAAAATATCGTAAAAAAACAAGAAATTACTGTACATAATAAGTCATAGGGTGGCCACACTACTCATATAAACATTGATGAGAATGCAATCTACCGGAGAATTGCCGAAATAACGCAAACAATCAGCGGACGGCTCTGAGCCGTCATTTTAGAGCTGGCCCAGCGCTGCGATGACGGCTGGGAGCCGTCATTTTAAGTCAATGGGTTAAAGCCTTGTTGCCATTGTGCCATTGTGATGATTTAGCACATAAGTAATGTAAGTTGCATGCATTTCATTTTGGGTTTCTAAGCTATGGAAATGTGTAATTTTTGTTACATGAAGATATTTCTGCAACTTAATATGGGAAGATATTTCTTTTCCCAGGAAGAATTATTTCCAAAATTTTGTCCGAGTGGTAGAACTACAAACTCGAGGTAACCCTAGAAAATACAGAATTCTGTGAAAATTTCTGAAACATCAACACTGGAAAAAATCAGGGCCCAACAGTTGATTTAAATCTAAAATTATTTCTCTAACAACAATCAGTAAGGATTATTTGGACTTTTTTAAAGCTTTTACTAAGTTCATTTGTTTTGATTTGATGAAGTGAGAAGAAATAAATAAAAAATATTGCTATTAATATTTGAGTTAACAGCTTTTGTAGTAAATTTGAAAGAACTTTTAGAAGTTAAAAAAAAGATGGCATAACTCTCATCATAGAAACCATTAGAACAGTTCAAATTTTATTTCTAACAACAAATTTGATATTTATAGTACATAATTTTTTGTTTTTTTTAAAATTTCATTTATCTTTTAAATTAACCTTTTTCAATGATAAAATTTTCATTTTTCTGTTTTCTACAGATGGGAAAAGAAGAGCCAAACCCTGAGGTTGCAGCATCAATTGGAGCGGAAGAAGGTGCTCTTGAAGACGACACATTTTTGGATAAATACAACATTGGAATCCATGTAAGTATTATTTCATGGAACTGGAAACGATGACAAAACCGAAACTAATGAAAAAGAAGGTAACAAACTCTGAGCTGGATGAGTAAGAAAGAAAGGAGAATTAGAAATTTAAAAAAATTCAAACTCACAAAATGAATTAATGTAAATGCTAAAAATGAAAACCTAAATGTATGATGTTTGCTTTGTTGTGAATTGCAAATGATGTAACTTGACTGTTTTTCGCGTTTTTCTAAAGGGTTTCTTTATTTAAAATTTTCCAGTGACATTCTGAAATTTGAGTTTGCTCCATGTGTCGAATGCATTTTGTGTGGATTTTAACGCATTGATAAAACCGTATCATATTATTTTAATTTATTCATTCTTGTATTTGAAGATAATTTTTCAAATTTTGTAGGATTTTGTGGGGAAACTACCGGGAGTAACGACTAAAAATGTCTACATGTTGTTGAACCGAGGAAAATCACTGGACCACTTAATTACGCTATCACAGGTACGTTTACCCTCTATTGGAATCAATACATTTTAAACCATGTGATCCTAATGTAGGAAAAGAAAACCTAACTGTCCCATATATTCTTACAATGCATTCTTTTTGTTATCTTTCTGATGAGACAAATTTCACTCGTATTTGGTCAGAGGCCACTGCTTGAAAAGAATGCTCTTGTCGTATAACAAAGGAGAAACTTGGTTTTAGAGCAATGGAGATGTTGCATGTGTGAGGAATTTGCAATTAGATTGTTGATTCCTATGTAAAAGTTAACGAGAAACACGATGGTGCCGCTGGTTTTCTCTGAAGTGAACTCCCAAGCTCAAAAAAAGCTCTCGAGTTGAGGCCAAAATGGAGGGGATATCCCACGCTATCCTGAGAGTCCACCTCTACATCAAGACAAACTCTCCATGCAAAGATAGGGAGCAAATACATTGACAGGGCTGCCACTCTTTATTTGGGGACTCCAAAACTGAAAACACGGTAGCCCTGCTAATGTATTTGCTCCCTATCTTTGCATGGAGAGTTTGTCTTGATGTAGAGGTGGACTCTCAGGATAGCGTGAGATATCCCCTCCATTTTGGCCTCAATTTGAGAGCTTTTTTTGAGCTTGGGAGTTGATTTCAGAGAAAACCAGTGGCACCATCGTTTTTCTTGCGAACTTTTACATAAGAACTGACAGTCTAATCGCAAATTCCTCACACATGCAACATCTCCATTGTCTCAATCAAAAGACTGGCTGAAGAAAATTGTCAGGTCTTATGGAGACTGCACCCATTTAGTTGATTGCTTTGTCAAACATACTAAAGTACACTTCCCAAATAAACATTTTTGCCTTAATTAATAAAAGATCAATGAAGAAGAATAAAGAATCAATAAAAGAAATAGAATAATAATTTCTTAACATAAAAGACAGAGAATTCCATAACTCTTGTTCGTTTACATAATCTGTATTATCTAACATTACTATATTTCTTAGTACCTACGTTAATTTCGTTAATTTGATTTAAGTCATGCAAATAGGTATGAAGCACACAGTTCCTTTAGTAGTTACAATATTTTAAAATAAAATTTGTTTAAATTCCTAAAAAAAAAAAAAAAAAAAAAAAAAAAAAAAAAAAAAAAAAAAAAATAAATTAGGGCAAAGTGATTTTATTTCAAAATCTTCAACATATAAACTGATATCTTTGTTAGTTTGTGTGAATAGCTGTTTTCTAGCTTCTTTTTACTCAGCATTTATCTTCCAAGTTGATAAAAACTCATCCACCTCTCATTAGCTGTTTGTCCACGTGGGTAATTAACTGTAATATTGAAGGCACAGTAAAGATGGAACAATTCCATAAGTAGGGCATCAATCGCACCAATTGTTCCCTAATGCCGGTTTAATTATTCCAGTAGACATTATCTCCAGACAATCTGTTTTCAAACCACACTCTATTATCACAATTAGATTCACCTTGAAAACATCTGAACTGACTATCTTCAGACATGAAAGCTGGAATTTTTCACTTTTTAAAAGTCTTTAAAATGTACTTATTGCTTTTCTATGAGATCTTCTAAATATTTTAGGATTTGATCACACATGTATTTCCAGTGCTAATTTGTTTAAAAATTTGATCCTACTAATTATGTGAAAAAGCTGCCCCGAAAAACTTTTCCAAGAAAGATTTAACTGTTCTCAGTGAAACAGCAGATGATTGAAAGAGGGAAAAGCTGGCTTTTTGCCCTAAAAGCATGTCAGCATACATGAGAATCGTGGCTTTTGTGCCTCTTTCCTCAGCCTGTCTTCTAAATTTTAAAAGATTTTACAGGTTTCATTCCTGCCTTAATGAACCAATAAACAAGTTGTGAATTTTAACATTATGATTTATATTTTCACATCAAAACCCTTGTAGAACACAGTTTATACAAGGAAAATTCCTGAAAGTAACCTCTAACAAAGATATTATTAACGTTTTTCCATACATAAATTCAAACTTCCTCTTCATGGAAAAAAGTATCTACTTGAGTTAAATCGCACATTGAACATTACCCAACAGTCTTTGTAGTATGAAGATATTACAACCTCAATATTGGCGCTTTGGCTCAGCTATTGCATACTGTTAACACTTTGAAAAACACAGGGAGGGGAGGAATACTACTCAATTGCAGACCCGCCAAGACTGTTGTAGCGTGCAATTTGACTCTAGTAGACTTTTGTTTTTCCTGGAAAAGAGGAATTTAAATTCTTGGGGACTGATGTCAAATAGAAACATTATTATTTTGATTTGGAGTCGATAAAAGTTATTTTTAAAGATTCAACGAAATACCTTATAATGTGTAAGTTATTTCGTGGAACCTTCTTTTATGTTAAACTCTCAGGAGGAATCATTTATCAGAATGCTTAAATTTGTATTGTGTCCAGTGGTCCGTCATGGCCAAATCATCAAAAGAAAAGAGAGATATTTACAAAACGTCTAAGCAGAAATTTAAAAACACTGTGGTCACGTTTTATATTCTCCTTGTTTCACTATCAATGAACGGAATGTAAAAAGAAAAAGTAACAAAAACAGTTTTGCCAAGTATGAAGTAGATCAATCACCACCTCATGTGAAATGTGCAATTTTTACTCTAGATCATTTTTACTAAAGCATTGTCTACTTGTTTCAGGAGCAATTAGCGGATATTCTAAAAAATTCTGGCAATGCTGAACTGTTATACAAAGCTCTACACTCTAGTCATAAGCCAAATCTGGAACCCACTGGCGGGAAGGGAAAAAGTCGCGGTGGCAAAAGTTTTCGAGGAGGATTCCAAGCTAAGAAACGCAGAACATAGTTTAACACGAGAGATCATGAAGTCATGAATGTCATATCAAACTTGACTGAGTTTGTTAATTTTCTTAAACGTAATTTACTTAAAGCATGTATCAGAATCTATAGGAAAGAGTCTTTCCTTAAGGCTTCAATAGCACATCAGGTGAGAGAGAAATTGAATTTGAAGCCGAAAATTTTCAGAGCCCAAGTTTCTCTATTTTTAAGTGGTATCAGATGTATGGTAAACCTTTGATCTTATGCCATCTCACGTTTTTTTGTGAAAACAGTAAGTATGGAGTTACTAAAGAGGTACAATAGTCAATGTGGTTTTTACTTGTGGTTATCAGTGGTTATGAAATGTAGGAACCTATTATTTATATTTATATTCCATCCTGGATATTCACTGAAAAGTAAGCTTCACACATATTCTTGCGCTGTCAAAAAGGCTCCTCAGTGTATAGTTACCAAAATTCATGTAAAAATGAAGCTCCTTTTTTCAATGAATCAGTATATGTATTCGAATAAAATTTGAACCATTTTGTAATTATGGAGAGCCTTCTTGTTCCAAGAGCTTATTTTTTCAAACATTTTGTATTTTATTTTTCTAAAAAATCATGCAGTCCGATTTTTTACGGATTTTTTAAATTAGAATGTTCACTGGGATTGCTTTTGGAGTTGGGTGGAATTTTTGCTCCAATTGTTTAGGATTTTCTGAGTAAAACATATCCGTGGCTAGTAGTTAAAACATGTGTATCTCACTTTTGGAGTGTTAAAAATTCAATTATGTTTTATTTGCTTCAAGGAAAACTTCGTATTATAACATTTGCATCTCAATTTTTTGTGATTTTTTTAGAATGAGTGAAGAAAATTCACAAAAGATTTCCATGGAAACTTATTCAGTTTTCCTTTTAAAGAATAGAGTATGCGTGGAGACTCGCAATGTCACAATCTAAGTTATGCACTTTTTGACTTTAGCCATCCACATTAACAGCCAGACATTTACTTTCCATGTGATAATGGAGATCGTGGTTCTTCCAGTTGGCTAAATAGAGTGCCATCAAGGATGGCAACATTATATTCATGTTGCATAATTATCAGCCACGATCAAGTGACTTTTAAGCATGCTGATTCATGCTCACTTACCCATTGTGGCTCGCTCAACGTTTCAAATCATCAGCTTTTTTTTTTAGTGGATTGAATAACTGCATGGTTTTCTACTTTTGTACTCGCAACAGCAAACAATTGTTTCATATGGCATGCTTCAACATGCCATGATGAAACTATAAAACCTTGAATATTGATTTGAATTGATTTAGATTTTCTGTCATAAATTACTTTTTTAGGGATGACTGATAAATCGATAATGAAAAATATAAAGTAAAACTTCCTTAAAATTGTAAACTAGAAGGAGACATTCTGAACTCTGTAATTGAGATCCAAGTTTTTGTAATTTCATTATTCAAATGTTAATAGGACGTTTTTGAAAGTTGATAATACTGTCTCTCTAACACTAAATCCATCTAAAGATCGATTCCGGAAGACACAACCTGCTTCAAAAGATATTGGTTGTTTTTCTCACCTTGAACTGAGGGAACCCCAATGTTGGCAACTTTCAAGAATGGCCATTGAAGCAATAAGTATTCTGCCCAGCACTTTTTAACCTTATGTACCTTTGCAGAGTGAACATCTGAACAAGCACTCACTGCAGTATTTAAGTTCGCAAATGTATTTTTAAATTCATCATTGTAGAGAAAAATTTTATTCCTCTGACCATAGAACAGTATCATGTGTGATTATTAATTTAAGTCTCAGAATATTAACTTTGTCAGCGTCTGCAGGAAAGCAAATTTGTTGAATCTGGTCATTCCATGTGAATTCCAACGGATTTGCTAATTTTGAAAGAAGAACTGCATAGACACCTGAATTTACTTGGAGATATTGCCTCCATATTAGTGTGAAAAATTTGAAAGATATATGTATTAAAAATTTCAAAGAAAGGAGAAAAGGAAAAAACAGGAAAAGGTATAATTAAGGTATTGTTAGTTAATCAATTTTTTATCCTTGTATGTTCAAAACCAATGATCCAAAAATTTCTCATACTATCTGTTTTGGTCATCTCTTAAAAACTCCCATTTCTAATCATGCTCAGTATTCAAAGTTTTAGACCAATAACAAGGAGCCTTGGTCGCTCTAATGGCATAAAAGTTTTGCCTAACTTATTATGCATGTAGTCTGTATTTACCAGTATGTTTATAAATATCAAAAATCTCTCAGAGGTGCATTTGTCTTCCATCCAAAAGCATTTTATGAGGAAGAAATTCACAGGCATAAAATTTTCATCATCGCACGTGTCTGTGTATTGTGTAAGGCTGTACGAATCAATATGTTTAAAAAAAAACCAAAGGAAGGAGCAAAAGTATTTTTTTGTCTTCTCTCTGGGGTTTTATCTGTTAATAATTTAACCTTGTATTATTTTTTAGTCAATAAATCTCTTGTTCTATTATAATCTTCATTTTTTCTTTGCTGAACCTCTTTTATGCTAAGGAGACTTTTCTTTTTTCCATCCCTCGCTTCCTCCCAAAAGGATAACAACCTATTCAATTAGTTAGAAGTTTTAGAGCCGATTCTTGTTGTTTTTTGACTTCATTATAATGGCTCACACCATTTGAAATATATAACCTGCCGTTTAAGTTTTAAATTAATTTTCACATATCTTAATTTCGTTGAAACATTTTATCAAGTTAGACAGAGAGGAAATGGTCGAAGAGATGAACGATCGATAGCAACCTGTCTCCGAAATGATGGCTGCAGATAAAAAATGGGTATGTCCATTACAAATTTTGAAACCTCCGATTTTGTTCCATTTTTCTCTAAATAATCCGATCCAAATATTTCTCTTTACTTTTCACCGAATATTATTGCTCGAGTGAAGAAAATGTAAGAAAAATTTATGTTCGTTCTGCTGAAGTTCGCCTTTAAAATTATTTCGCAGGTTCGCGCCTTATTTTAAAAAAATAATTCCAGTGTTGGCGTCACCAAAAAGTCACTTCAACTTTTGAATCGAGTGAATATTTACTAATGCACTCCAGTTATAAATCAGGATCATGACACAAATACTTGCAACGGTGGATAAAAATGTTTGTGCTGTTGCTGTAATCACAAGCTATTGAGCATTAAAAGTTAGTTCTCCGTATTCAGAAAATAGCCAAATGTACTTCGACTGTTGGTACACCTGACGTACCGGTCTCCCTCCCCCTCCCTCACACCACTCCACTCACTACTCCACTAGTCAAACATGGTCAAACGGCATTGAGAAAAAAAAGGAGGTGTTTGCATCTTGAGGATTTGTACCCACCAGGGACGAGTTCTATAGGACGCCGTACTGTGGTGAGCGCTGCGTTCAGCGCATTCCCGCGTAGGATCCTCGTACTAAAGAGCGGATCCTCGGCAGGCAGCAGGCCCACGCGGCCATGAGGACAAGATTCTTCGAAATTCCTCGAATTCCGTTACAGTGGACATAGGACGATTTAGGCTCAGGTTCCGTTGCTCATGTGTTAGCAGTTCTCGTTTTTCGATCTGAATTCTCCCGTCTGTTGTTTTAAGTTGCTTAACTCGGTTCATCATGTTTCGTGACGCCGGTTAATAGTGTTCCTAAGTACATTACTTAGTGTTGGACAATTTATTTTAGCATTTAAGGTAGTTTAAGTATCAAGAAAAAGTGTCTTGTTTGCAGCCGGTCTGCTTCGACAAGCGAAGGGATATCCCTATTTTCATTTCCCGTCGAGGAAACTCGGTAAGTAATTTTCACATGTTTTCTTCAATCATCTCTCAAAGAGTAAAACTTTATAGCTGTGTGGAAGAAATGTAATCTGCAGATGCCTGGGTGAACTGCTTAGAGAACAAGAGTCTCGGCGTACTTTTCGTCAGTGCCTTATCCACTTTCTTTTTCTCTAAGTACCCGGTTTGTCTCAATACTAAATAACGAGCGAGTGGACCTGATTCTTATTGCCTTCTATTGGCTCCAATCTAGAGTCGAACTGAATGTAGGTATTCTTGCCAAATATCGGCAAAATCCTTTCACTATGAGAACCTCCTCATGGTTGGCCTAGTAAAATTCACAGATTGTTTTTAACAATAGTTCTCCACATGTGTCTGTTACGAGACAGTGATTGAACAACTTTCTTTTAGCTTCCCTATTGTCAGTGTACTAACTGAATTTTTCCTTCATTTTTTGCAGACAAATTGCCTGGCTGAAAGCCATCAAGCAAGAATCATTTAACGTTAAGCCTAGCACACGCATTTGCTCCCAGCATTTCCCGCGGTGCTCCTTCAAATTTTTCACTCGTTCCAAGAAACTCCTAAGGAATGATGCGAACCCCAATCTACTGAGCGAAAATGCTACATCTGCTGTTGATCAGGGACTAGGAAGAAACACTCAAAGCCCAACTGATCCTTTCTCGCCTCGAATCCACAACCTATCTCCAGCCTCACCTCACATTATTAAAGCTGGAAAACGGTCTCTGTACCTCGGTGAGTGTGTAACTAGTTGTGATTGATTATTACTTATTGACATTAATATAGGAGCTGTCCTTACTTACTCGAAGAATCCAGTTATTCGAACCGAACACCAGTCTTCATTCAGAACTGGTCAGCACATAATGAGTATGCAGCAAATATGATTCAATTATGAAGAAAGATTATTACCATTATATCTTCGTCACCTGTTGATCAGAACTATGATCATCTGAAAGTTTAATTGGTCTCGCAGCAATTCCATCGGCTGCTCTTATACTTTCTGATGGTTTTCTGCCTTCACCAAAAATTAAGACTTGTAGAAGTAGGATAAGTTTGTCTGGAAGTGTGTCATACACCTTAATTGAACTTAAGAGCGTCTACTGTCTTTTAGCCCCCATTCAAATTCTTTGCTCAACCACCACAGCTGTTACTTCCATTTACCTGCTTAATTTACAAGTTCTACAGAAATATTCTGATTTTTTAGGAAGCAGTGTTCAAGAATTGAAGGCTCTTTCGATTAACAGCTTTAATTGACAGCCCAAATCATATATATCTATGTTTTTTGGCAAACAAGTCAACTTTAGGATGAGCAATAGCTTTGTCCTTCCCCATTCTTCATCATGCATTAAAATATTTCTTTGTTTTGTACAGGTCCGAAGACGAAGGGATTTCGAAAGTCTCAAGGAACACCCCCACCCTCTTGTTCTGGACGCTATATTTTTGAAGTCAACGGTACTCCAAATTTAGGTTAGCACACGCAAGTATTCTACAACTTTGTTCAAGTAGTAACTCACCCAAAACAATATTAGTATTGCATGACCATGGACCGAGGAAAAGAGTTTATTACCGTGCAAAATCCAATACAAATTTTCCTTTTCAATATTTATCATTTGCTCTTACAACACTTACATTAATTTCAACAAACCAACTTTATTCAAAGTAAAGTTGCTTTTCATACTTACGAATACTACTCTTTTTCCCTCAGTGAATCCTGGAAATGTATAAAGTACATGAATCATTGCTTACCGTTAGTCGGGTATTGAAAGCAAAGACAGTGCTATTACTTATTTGCAGCTCGTCATCAATTATTGCATCAAGTTTTTTTCCCCTCATTTTATTCAGCCTTAACACTTCCTTGCATTCCTTATCACAGCCTTAACACTTTCTATTCCTTGCATTCTAATTTTTCATCTCATTTTACAGACTTAGCACAAAACTGTTGTGCAGACAAAACGCTTACAATGCCTACCCCTTTGCAGAGACCTGCTGCCAGGATTGGCCTCTTCAGTGGATTTCCTATCTTTTCACCTCAATCAGAAGATGGGAAAGATAGAAACACCTCCAGAATACATGTTAATCCTGAGGCTCTTACTTCTCTCTCGACACTTGCATATGATGGTGAGTTTTTATTGACTTTTCTAAGCAAATATATCGGCAATTTTAGACATGTCTTTGTACTCATTAGATAGCATAATGATGAGTGGATTACATTTAGCAGAAAGGACCCAGCACGAGTACAGTGTTTTCAAAATCATGCTACTTCCTTTCCTCCTTTAAAAATACTTACTTAATACTTGTACAGTATTCAAATTTACACAATTGAACACTATTACAGTGGAAAGGAAAAACTATTTGCTATTTTGGGAGATTTTTTAGATACCTATGAAGAAGCAACATTTTTAAAACTCAGTGATCATGCTGGTTCCTTTTTGCTGAATGTGGTCCAAGTATAACAGTTAGAAGTAATGAAAGAAGAGTAGGAAATGTATCTTGTCAAAATGTATTTTCATTTTCTTTAACCTTAACACTGCGTAAGCTTAATCGGTTTCTTTCGCTTGACAGGTGTAAAAGCTGATTTTAATATTGTTACAAATACTGCTGTCAACATTAGACTACATTTTAAGTGAGGAAACAATAGTTATTTCAACAGTTGATGGAAATCATTGCATAAATGTCTTTACTACGGCTCTGAGCATTACATACTTTTTAATTGGGCACAAATCCTCATCTCTGGTGCTGATCAACATAAGACAGTCATGTAACTTCTTGATAACTCGAGCACCTTCTTGAAAACTTTCTTGTCAATTTTGGGGGCTCTCACATTTTTTGGAGAGCAAAACCCTGTTGTGAATGAGTTAAACTGGAAAGCATCCATTAATTCCTCCCATGAAATGTTTTCCCAGGAGTTTGGGGACCAAAATTGAAAAGTAGGAAGGAGCTATTTGCTCAAGACGTTGCTTCTTCTGCTTCAACATTACCAGAGCCAATCATGCCCTCTACTGCAGGGACAGAGGAGTCTGCAGAAGTACCTTCCACAGTTTTTACCGACTCTAGTGATTTTCATACTCCTATTCTTCATTCAAACTGTACTGAAGGTAAGTCAATAATGGTTTCTTGACATTGAAAAATATTGCAATTTTGTTTCAAGTACATCTGACTCCTAGATGCTTTTTTGCAGGAGCTATGTGCAGAATTTTTGCATGTACATTATGCACAGTTCCATATTGATGTCGGAAATTGTCTGGTCCTATTCTATTGTTGAGTACCTAATGAGAGGAAGAGAGTCAAAGCCTGTCCGCAAAATTCTCTCATATGGGAAGAAGTTTTACCAAAATCTTATAGCTTCATTTGAGAGTGTTTATTGAGCTGAGTTCGTAGTATTTTTCAAAAAAAATTTCGGACATGGAACATAGGAGGAAAATAGGTTTAAAAGTGAGAACATGTGCGGCCTTATGATGTCATCTGGCGGCATTTTTCATTGAAACACATGTATTTTAGCAGATTAGGCTTTTTTCTCATATTCTCTCCAATAATTGTCCAATTTAGGAACCAAGACTATCCTCTTGCTCAGCTTTCCTAGTAGTATCATTTATAAGATGAAATTCACAAAATTTAAAATACCTGCAAATGTCTATTTAATATTGATCACATAAGTCATTTACATTTTATTTCCTCCTAGGGATGAGAAGGTCTCTTGGACATAGACTTTAA